CAAGGAATGGTCAAAGCTTGTTCGAGAAGTCTTGGCCATGTTGCTGGCTTGGCCATCAGGTGTACATGTGTCGCTCAAGAATACGGCCGCACAGCGTGAACTTCGGTTTCGCCCATCCGACAAAGCGGATTTTGTGCCCAAAACTTCAAGATTACTCATGCAAGCCTCTCTGGCCGACTCGAGTGATGTTGACTGCTGGGTCCCTATCTCAGCATCTTGCGGATCGGTCTCGGTCAAAGGCTGCATCTGTACAAATCCCGTTGCGACACGGCGGTCTCAGTTTATCAGCCTGGGAATCCACCCAATCATGAACGAGTTTGGCACGGACGTTCTATATGAAGAGATCAACAGGGTCTTTGGCAACTCCAGCTTTGGTGTCGTTGATGGCGAGGAGAACAGGAGACCTGAGGACTCGCCAAAGCTTGAGGGCTTCTCGAGCAAAGAGTTACGAAGTCGAAAGGCTCTCGAGCGATGGCCAATGTTTTACTTGAAAATCACAGTTCCAGATTTCGATGACATTGATGGCCCTGATCGGCTTGAGAGCCAGGGGCAGACATTGTCCGCAATTCTGGATCTTTTAAAGGCGACCTGCTATGGCTTCCTCAAAAAGCACCACTTTCGACCCCGAAAAGTCCGGCTTTCCCCTGATGAATCAGTATTTTCGACATCAAGAACACTCAGTAAATCGAGGAAGCTGTCTAAGAAGCCGTCAGCCTCGTCTTCGAGTAGTTCAAGGGCAGGCTCTGTCACCCCTGTGTCCAGAGATGCTCTTGGGCCGAGGGCAGATAGCCCATTTCATGGATGGCATCGTGTCAAAATTGGAACGGGCACGCCACTCGGCGTAAACTCGAAGACGAACGACGTTCAAACAAAGCTGCGAGATCAGACTCCTACTCGTCCACTCATCGGCGAAGGCGGGAAACTGCTGCGCAAACCTTTCGACGAACCCGAGCCCGAGCCTGAAGAGATTCCAACCTCCAAAGCCTCAAGTACTGCTATGGAAGATGGGCCTCGGTCTAGTGCAAACGGGGATACGGCGACATCTACACAGCCCCGAAAACGAAAACGAAGTCAGTGGCTACAAGAGATTATTGACTCGTGGGAGAATCCGGTGTTTGAAAACGTCCAGTCTGCAATACCATCGATTGACAACACAGATCTTTCCCCTGCTCCTGGTCTCTCCCACAACTGCTGGAGGAGCAGCCATGCAAACATCATATTCGACGCCGCGTCCATGAGCCTCAGCAGCCGAATTTCACGCCAAGCGCTCGCTGAAGCGACTGTGATCTCGCAGGTCGATCGCAAATTCATACTCGTCAAGCTCCCCTTGAAAGATGCTGCGCCGGGCAAGCAAAGCTCTGCTCTTGTCATGCTCGATCAACACGCCGTTGACGAGCGATGTCGTCTTGAAGACCTCATGGTAGGCTACTTTGTTCGAGACGAATCGACAAATAAAGTCTTGCCCGCTACTGAACCTCTTGAGCGTCCCCTTGTGTTCGAAGTACCGTTGGAGGAGCATTCTCTTTTGGATCAGAATCGAGACCGCTTTGCTGCTTGGGGGATCGTGTATCAAACTCCCACCCCAAGATCCTCGCAGCCAAGGAAAGTTATCGTCACAGAGCTTCCGCCAAGCATCATGGAGCGTTGTCGCCTCGAGCCACGCCTTTTGATTGAACTTCTCCGCACCGAGGTATGGCGCAGCGTGGATGAAAGCGTCCCCCTTTTACAGCCACCAAACTCGGACCTTGATAAATCTTGGGTATCACGATTCCACGGCTGTCCAAGGGGTATCTTGGAGATGCTGCACTCTAGGGCCTGCAGGAGTAAGCATAAGCATATTCCCCTAGATTTTCCTTGCTGACGTTTTGCTTCTAGGTGCAATCATGTTCAACGATGTCCTCAGCGTTGAGGAGTGCAAACATCTCATATCACGCCTCTCACGCTGCGTCTTCCCCTTTCAATGCGCTCATGGCCGACCAAGCATGGTGCCCTTGGTTGATCTCGGAGCTGGAGCCAAGTTTGGTGGGTGGCAGGAAACAGAGAAGCAGGATACAGTAAGGTGGAAGAGCTGGATTGAGGAGCCATAATGGGTTACTTGAATTATTTACTGATACCCCAATGTGATTGAGTACCGAATTATTCTTGTGAAGAGATCCAATGGCGATATTCGTCATTACATGGTATTAGACAACTATGGTACATTGATCCGCTGAGTGTACAAAAACATACAACCTGATATCCATCCAGGTATGAAGAATGCCATTACACCTTTTGATGAAACTATCTTGCAGACTCGACCAGGATATCCAACAATGCAAATAGGGATCAAGAGTCCCCAACGCCAACAGCTTGCCACCGTGACAAGCACGATATGATGCTTCATGTCCTCCAACGCCAATCTTCCTACACCAACGCCAAGTATGCAGCAATATAATAGAGGGGGTCTAAAATCCAAGGGGGTGAGAAGGGGGATGAGTTTTTGGAAAAGGTGATGGCTCAGGAACCGATAAATCGTTCACGGGGCGCATAGGGTATTCATGAAACAGGGAGGCCGGCCGAGACAATCATGTTGCGGGCTGAGCGGCCTCTTTCTGTGCCTTCTCTGCCTCCTCAGCCGCAAGCTCTGCGTTGTGACGCTCGAGAGCTTCGAGCTTGCGCTGCTCGGCCTCTTCGTCGGTCTCCAGGACCCAAACCTTGGTATCATGGTTCCAACGGTGGCTGTAAGAATTGACGTTAGCAAATGCAAAATGCATGCAATGCGCAAAGAATGAAACAAGGTTGCATTGAGGCGTCTTTGACAATGCATAGAGTGGAATAACGTACCCTGACCAATTCTCCGTCACCAAACTCTTTGTGTCGTACTCGTCAATGAGGATCTTGTTAAAGTTGAAAGGCACACGGGCCTTGACACCCTCAAATTCCGAGATTCGCATGGGCCACAGGTCCTGGCTGTTGTAACGATGCTTATTCTTACAACTCCAGACACCCGGGCGCTCAGGCTCACGTTCCCGCAGGCCGGTGATGTCGATGAACATGCCGTTCTGCATATCGATCCAGCGACCGTCGATGATGTTCCTTCCATCGCCACGGTCAATCTCGACGTGGTGGGGGTTGATGTCGAGCAGGTACTTCTTGGAGATGAGGTCCCCCGTGGCGGCATCTGTGTAATTGTAGATGTGCTCGGTGCGGTTGAGCGTGTTACCTATCCACAGCAAAGTATGGTTTGCGACCTGAACGTCGAGGTCGTAATCCCAAGGCATGATCTGGCCGTTCCACCACCAGCCCAGAAGAGTACCGTGGGCAATCCAAGTCTCGGCGCCGTGGTTATCCATCGTGGAGAGGTAGCTTCGAATGAGGTCGCGGAGGACGAAACGGTGCTCTTCGTAGGGGACTTTGTCTTGGAAGTAGCGGCGGTCGTAATGGCCAAGCTCGAGATTTCCACCGGCTTCCCTGAAGTATTTTGGCGTCTTTTCTTCTTCCCGTGAGATTAGACCTGAGTCTTCCTTTTTGGGGAGCGCGAGGGCGGCGGGTGTAGAGATCGAGGCGAGGCCCCAGACGAGTAATGATTTTACGGAGCGCATATCTGCTATTGTGCGACAGAGTCGCGAAGGCGGAGGAGGAGTATTTGGAGAGTAATATTCGAGGTGGATTGAGGGAGCGGGTATGCCGTAGATAAGGAGGGGACGGAGGTTCAAGGTCGAAGCAGGTGATTCAACGTTATTGCGTCGCAAATCGCAGTGAAGAGGAAACGAGTATAACAATGCTTTGACGTAAGAGCAAGGAGGAGAGTGAGGGGAAAAGCCCACCCGTGAGTCTTTGTATGCGAAGGGTAGACTGTTGATTAAAAAATGCGGAGATGTAGGGAAGAAGAGGCAGAGACAGCGGGCGTTTATCCAACGTCAAGATGAATGACGGAAGCAGTGGACACCACCTCGAGGACCACACATCTTTCGCCTGACAAGGGGGGAAAAAGGGTTCGGGAGGTGGGCGGGCGCCGGGCAATGGCAGGGGGGTTAGGTAGAGGCACGCGCCTCCTTACCTAGCATGGACGGGTTTTTTTGCGAGATGGTATCGAGTACAAGTGCAACACAGGAGGCATAGGTGTCAGACATTTGTACAATCAATCAATTCCCAAAAGTAGGCACTTCTTGGGTCTCTCCAGTGACAAACTCGACAATCCATTGTTGTCCCTTGTGAACCTGACGTTCCCCTTTCCGGCGCCTTCTTGATCTAAGACCATTCTCGCCTGTCAGCACTCAAATGTACCTCCCTACGCGTCAGCTCCCCCCCACGGCAATCAGCATCCGTGGTACGTGGACACATTCCCCAAAGCCTCGTCTTTGGCGCCCTGACCTGTTCTTTTTCATCTTGGCCGTTTCATGCCAATGCTTACCGCAGAAGCAGACGCGGCGGCGACTAGGGAGACGTAGACCCCGGTCAAAATGCCAAGCATCAGACCCCTCCAGCAGTGGCGCAGTCCCCGTCGACGCTAGGCTCTTCGAAGGAAGCAGTCGTGTGCTGAATGGCCCTCTGTTGACAGTTGGATCGTCATCACTGTGGAACTACCCCAGCGCCGTGAAATGAGGCCAAGTCTTTTTGTCTTTTGCTCGAGGTTGGTAGAGGTACCGACTTTGATGAGATCACACATCCTGCAGGATTACGGTTGTCCCGATGCATAATAACAACAGAGTTCAGCATGGCAACTTGCTCAAGGTTCGACCACGGCATGCCATGGCTGACATACGGCAAAACGGCATCCTCCCATCAGAGAGCCTGGACTTGGCCAGCAAAAAAAAAAAAAAAAAAGAGCGTCGTCATCACACCTCCGGTTTTAGGAGTTTCGACTGGCGAAAAGACCCCCGGGTTGCCGGTAACTATGCGCCCACCGCAAGGCGATACCCGACGCAACCTTGTCACTGGCGCCACAACACAACATCACTGTAGCATCGTCAGCAACAACACCAAAAAGAATGATCCACGAGCTGCTGCTCGTGTGGCGTCTCTCCCGCCGGGAATTGAACCCGGGTCTCAAGCGAATTGTTTTAAATGACAAGCTTGCATACTGACCACTATACTACGGAAGATGTGCGATTGTGATCAACCACTGTAGTGAGAGTTCGATGTCACGTGGATAACGACAAGTTGTTTATAACCCTCTCGCAACCCCCCGACATGACAAAAGAGAACCTGGGCAAAAAAGGAATCGCATCTTGAAGATGCTGGCGATATCTCTCCCGCCGGGAATTGAACCCGGGTCTCAAGCGTATTGTTTTGATGACAAGCTTGCATACTGACCACTATACTACGGAAGATGATGGTTGTTGAGCAACCATTGTAGCGGATTCGATGCCTGCCGACTTGCCAGAGTCCCTTATACGCCGGGACTGACTCATCGTGACAAGATGGTATAGGGTCGGTAGAGGGAGGGAATGCAGTCATCGGTTCGAAGAGTCGATCGAGTGGTTGTCGGCTGTGGTGATCGTTTGTGGAGGAGTTTGGATTAGCCGAGCTTCCAATGTGGGTTGAGATCCTGGAGCATAACCCAAAGTCAATCAGTCAGCATCGACTTGAGGAGGTAGGCACACTCGGGTCAAGGAAGGAATGAGACACACCACTCATTGCAAAGGCGTTAGCTTAGCCTTCGTGGAGGGCGACCAGTACCAAGAGAACAGTGAGAATGGCAAGATAATAAGCAAAACATGTGTAAAATTTCGCCTGTCATTAGGATATCTCTTTGACTATTTTTTTTCATGCTCTATGGCTAGACGCCCTTTTGGTGGTGGTGACTGGTTGAGTCTGCTCTGGTCGGGGGATGTGGTGTCCCAGCATCCATCTACCATTACTCCGTACCTACCTATCTAGGTACGCAATAAGTGAATGTCTGGCACATGCCGTTTGGAAGTACGTAGTAGGACCGGGCAATTTTATATATTGCGCTACCATGTCGAAGACCATGTTTATTGCATTCGATGTCCGTACCTACCTACCTAGTCGCCTGTAAAAACATGCCTGCCTCGTTGACTGTCGTGCCTTCTCCGATCTGATGCCTCTGTAGGAGCAACAGTCCTCAATCCATCTTGCACTTCACAACAACAGCTGATTCCATTCCCCTCAAATCACCACTCAAACTCTCCCTTTAATTAAGTTCACATCGGCTACACTTCCAAATCCCTACAGCACCGTTGGAAGCACGTTTTATGCATGTTTCACGGCCGTTCCCGAACCATACTCTAACCCCTGCATAAGACTCCTCGTCAAAAATCTTCAACACCATAACCCAGCACCTGGAGTGTCTTGAGACGAATTTTCGAACGGTCTGCCAACCAGCCCCCCTCACTACAACAGGCGCCTCAACGCCTGTCATCTTCCGTAGTATAGTGGTCAGTATGCAAGCTTGTCACGCTTGAGACCCGGGTTCAATTCCCGGCGGGAGAGATATCCGGCCACCTGCGATACGCAGGATTTCTTTTTTTTGCACTTTCAACCAGGTTTTGGAACTTCCTTTTGCTTCGCAAGTCGTGATCAAAGATGCAGTTATGCAAATTCGCCAGTGTCCAAAATGCTACTAGAGTACAAAAACCCATCCATCGTCCATCCGTCATCAAGTCCCAAACCCAACCCAACACGAGACAGACATAACCACAACGTGCCGGGTATCGACGAGTAGTATAAAATAAGAATCTCCCTCAGACAAACAGAAAAAAGGCACACACACACACACACACACACACATACTATAACACAGGTTCGTCGTTGCTGAGCCCAGCTTCATCCAACTACTACAACACGTTATATGCCCCAGCCCCAGCAACAATGCACCCTCCAGCCCGCCATAAAGTAAGAAAAATCCCTTTCCCTCCTCTAACATGAATAAAATGCTGCCCGCTACCGCGCGAATACCTTGACAACACCGTCGCCGCCCGCGCTTACCACCCACTTCCCGTCTTGGCTCCACACGCACGAGCAGATGCCTTCGCCGCGCATCACTCGGTGGCTTGTCACTTCCTGTGTGCACGTCCTCTTCTCGAGGCTCCAGAATCGGAGTGAGGCGTCGTGCCCGGCGCTGACGAGCTCGCGTCCGTCGGGGCTAAGCGAGAGACTCGAGATGGCATCTGGATGGGCGATCATGTTATATGTACATTGGCCTAGCTGCGAGTTAGTCTGTAGACCCTGAATGTGTTGAGCAAGCAACATACCGCGGTTGGCGTCAAAGAACCGAATAAAGCGGTCTTCGTGACCCGAAATAATGGTTCCCTCCACTCCTGAGCCTGCCATTGATCGACCACCGCCAGTGGCTCCAGCACTGGCATCTTCCTCGCCCATGTTACCGGTGTGGTGCTGACTAGCCTGGTCCAGTCCCATCGTCGTTGCGACAACCGCATTGACACTGGTCTTGTTCGTCTGGTCGTATGTCTCTAGACTATCCATATGGCCAATCTGTTCACCAGTTCTAGTGTCGTAGACAAGAATGGCAGCATCCGAGTATGCAACGACGAAGGATTCGCCCGAGGTGCCCAGAGGTGTGATGCATGTCGGGCTAGCGTTGGAGCCGTCCGACCTCGAAATGTTATGTACAAGAGTATGGTTAAAGGGCGAGTTTGAAGCTATCGTGGGTTGGGGTGAGTTAGAGAAGCCGCTGCCAGAGCTCATCGAGTTACCACGGACTCGGCCTCCCCGACCTGTCATGGCTCGGTTTGTTCCTGGCTGTGGCGAGCTCAACTGCGGCGGCGCACTCACAGACCATAGACGGACACTGCCATCTGCCGCACCTGATACAACAAGGATTCTATCGGTGCTGCCGTAGGGACTCGAGTTTCCAAAGACTGAGCCAAGCGTTGTGGGAAGAACACACAAAGCCCACACGGCATCTGTGTGTCCCTCAAGAGTAGCCTTGGGGTCAACCCTTCCACGTTCCCAGACTCGGATAGTCGCATCCTGGCCACCGGAGAATATCCAGCCGTCGCCTTGTGCGCGACCACCAGTCGAGAAGTTTGGTGAAGGGGACCATGATGTCAGACAGAGAACTGCTCCAGAGTGACCTCGGTGTGTAAAGTTGGCCGTAACATCAAGGTCTGATGCTGTATGCGGACCATCTAACCTGGGGATATGGAAGCGCTTGATCATGCCGTCGTCTCCACCTGTACAGATCTCAGGTTCTCCTGGGCTACCACCTCCGGAGAAGATGACTGTTCGGACAGTATCGAGATGACCCCTAAGTCCGAATCGTAGCTTGAAGTTGCCGCTCTCAGCCTTCTGAGCTGCTAGGGCTAGTTCGTGGTCTGCGCTCCGTCTTCTCGACATGGAGCCCTTCCTCCGGTGAGAGCTGTCCCGCCGACCCGGGGATTTAGGGAGATTCTCTGCAGTAGGAAAGGCATCGGTGTCTGGGCGGTTCGGTAGAGACTGATTCGGTTGAGAGTTTCCAGGTTCAGGGAATGTGCCCTCAGGGAACTCCCACCCATCGGACTCGGGTGGAACTGAGTGCTTCTCTCTGAGTTCTGCAGGGTCTTCCATTCCGCCTAGAACTTCTGCAGCATGGTTCGCTTGGGGTACGTGTTCTTCAATAGGTCTGGAGTTGACAGACACGGATGTCGGCCAGTCGTTAGAGTTCTGATATCTGCCGGATTGATGTTCTACAGGCGTCTGCATCATGGGCTGTGGCGGCATCTCTTGCTTTTGAGAAAAGTGTGACTGCGGTGGCTGCATAGGGGGCGCATGGTTCTGCTGAGGTATTCTCGAGTTCATCTCCTGGACATGGTTCTGAGCAGCTCTCGTCGGCAACTGAAACTGTCGCTCCATGGGTTGAGGAGCTGGCATTCCGTATGCCTCGACTTCTCTCAGATCCTCCATGATAGGTAGCGGGGGAGACTCTCGTGGCGGTTGCGGGTTCGCGGGAGTAATCATCAGATACATAAACTCGGACTGGCACTGATCGAGGAAGGATTTGAGATCCTGTCGCTGAGCATCCTCGTCACTTCGGTCGATCTTTCCGTAGTCGACGCCGTCCACACCAGGGACGGGCATACTCTCGAGGGAAGCTATATCGGTATCTGATCAGCACGTGGCAGCTGGCATGAACATGGGACTAGTCTCACATCTGAGTTTCTCCTGTATCTTGGCGGCACGATCGTTCTTTGCGGCGGTGGCAGCATCAACAGCGGGTTGCCCCTTGATCTGGGCGGCCTGCTCCTTGACCTTGCGCTCCAGCATAGTGACGTACTTCCTAAGGACACGCTGGGTGGCATCGGCCCTCCGCGCCTGTCCCTCCAGATTGGCGATGCGGCCCTTCATCTCCTGCTTCTCAATCTCCCACGAGTTCCTGTCGCGCTCGTGTCGATGCCACTCGGTCTGCAGGAAGCGCATGACGCCCTGCAGGGTGTACTCGGTGGCCTGGGGGATGTTGGAGCCGTTGCCCTGCATCATGGGCCCCATCTCCAGGCCTCCTCCCACGCCGTTGCCAGCATTCGGGCCCATCGCGGCGCGCCTCTGTCAATTGGGCGGGTGCATGGAGATCGAGGAGGCAAGGCGAAAAAGAGCGACGGCGGCGAGCGAGTGCCGGTTTGGACGTCGGACAAGCTCGGTGCGATGAGATGGGGGGCGAGGAGAGAGAGGATTGTATGGCGGAGAGCTGCGCGACGAGCTGGGCACGTGTTGTCTTGTCGGTCGCGACTAGGATTCTGACAATATCGACGTATATCTGGGTATCTGTCTGTCACTGTTCGACGTCGAGAATCTGGGAGGCGTGTGCTGCGTGGGAAAAAAAGCTTCCAGCCCAGTTGTTTGGTTCCAGTTGGAGGTGCAGTCTGCTGTGCTGTGCTGTGCTGTGCTGTGCTGTCCGTCCCGTGTGCTGCCCGCCCTGTACTTCCCTGGGTCTGCCGCCAGTTGGTGCCGCGCCTTCTCTGGCTTGACGCTTTGCCGCTGAAATTTCGACCAATCATGGTCGGCTAAGCTTCCCGTGAGGCTGTCAGGCATCAACTTTTTCGGGAGGACCCCTGGAAGAGGAGATGTGATTGAGACCAGAAACGCCCACCAACACGATTGCAAGTGAAAGTGACAAATCAAACAGCTAATCTATCTGTGATGAGAA